GGGGGGGGGAAGAACTGCCATAATCTCTCTCTCTCTACTGGAGATGTTGGGTAAGGGTGCAGAGGCTGGCCGGGAGCTGTAGGACCACAACATCTGAGCAGAGTGGTTCCCAACTGTGGCTCCTTGCCCATGATTTCACTAAACAGCGATTTCAGTGGAACGGATTATCATTGTCTAGCAAGGCACCACTGTATTGTTGTTGGTTAGTTCTGGTAATGCACAATGGAAATACTTTTTCTAGACCATTTACTATGCTGTATGTATAGTGTTGGCTATTATCCATGGTTTATAGCCTCCAAGGGGGGCTTGGAACCAATCCCCCACAGATACGGGGGTCCTACTGTATTTCTTTTGAGTTTAGCTGTCCCCTAACAATAGGGACAGGCAACATGCAGTCATCCAGATACTGTTGGGCTACAACTGTAGCACAAGTGGGGGGAAAACTACCATAATTTCTCTCTACTAGGGATGCTGGGTAAGGGTGCAAAGGCTGGCCGGGAGCTGTAGGACCACCACATCTGAGCAGAGTGGTTCCCAACTGTGGCTCCCTGCATATACTTGGATTAAAACTCCCAGAAGCCTTCACCACTTGCTGGGCTGGCCAGGATTTCTGGGAGTTGAAGTTTAAGGTCGGGAACCCTGGAGCAAGATGCAACCCAACCCAATAGAAGCCCATGCCTTTTGCCCTGTCCTCAAACCCCCACTAAGGCTTTTCTAATGACCTTTCTCTGCTTCTCTGGGTCAGCTTGGCTTATTTTGTCACACCAGCTCTCAAAGACGGCTTCTTGACACTCGTCCATCCAGTCCATGTTCTGTTTATAGTCTGCGAGTTCTTCCTCTTCGCTCCGCGGACTAAGAAGGAAGCAGACAGTTAAACCTCGGGGAAGAAGGGCGAGGCCAAAAAAGGTCATCAGCTGGGGAACCGGCATTCACTCAAAACAAAGCTGGAGGGTTCCAATTCATTTAACAGTTCAAACATGTTTCAATTAACTAAACCATTGTAATTAACTAAGGCTAAAAGACAAATCAGGCAGGAGAAATGATCCAGCTAATATTTATGAATGAAAACGCAAATGCTGTCTCGTAAGATACATTTCAGCGTCTGTCACACAGAGAAGGAAATGCCTCTAACATGGTATCTCTTATGCTACCTGATGCTTAGTGGCGGAGATTGGCTTCACAACTATTACTTCTGCTGATGTGCAAATTTAGTCAATCAAACCAACACACTGCATGATGAATTGCTTTTTATAAAAGGATGACCGTATCACACACATATACCCCCAAAATAGTGGAGGATACAGATCTTAAGGACAAAACTGAGATTTCCCCCCCCCCCTCGCTTTTCATGTTGATAATGCCCAGGGCTAAGTCAGCTCAGTCAGAATTTGTGACTGCCACTTGCTAGGTAAGATAGTCTGACCGGGGTCTTTTTTCTAGCAAACAGCAAAAGCCAATCCCTAACTCTTTAAATTAATTTCTGAACCTGACAAAAAAAATATGTTTCTCACATATTCTCATATTGACAAAAGACAAAGAAATTAGGGCTGGCTCATCCATCAGCTGAACACGTGGTTTAACGGAGATTTTGAAACTTAGCTGGCTGGATATTCTCAGTGGTTTAGGTATATGGCTTTGGAGGCAAAGGTGGGGAGTTCGATTCCCTGCCGGGCCTCCTGGGAGGAAGAGCAAGCCTGTGTGTGTGCCTTGGGCAAGCGGCCTGTTGCTAGGGGACCCCACAAAAGAGGGGGGACAATAAATCACTTTTAAGGACTTTTTCTACCTGGAAAACCCTGAAAACTCAGAATTGATTTGGTAGCAGAGAATAATGACGATGAACATAATGATGATGAAACCTTACTTAATGAGCTGCTGCCAGCTTAGCAAAAGATGCCCCTGGGGTGCCCACCAATTGTCCCCTCCCCCCCCCGCTTTCCCCTCACCGCATCAGGCGTTGTACGGAACGATCCCCATCATGCCTGACCTCCCAGGGGAAATGGGCGCCTCCTGGCTCGCCCACCCAACGCTTCGGGGTCCCGGACTTACCAAACGGTGCTCTCGTGGGTGCTTATGTTCTCCCGCGACATGGCGATGAGGAGACGCGGCAGCTGCAGGTCAACAAAGAAGGAAAGGTCACTGGGCTCCCAACCCATATCCAGGAGGTAGAGGAGGGACGTCTGGACGCAAGACAAGGCAGGGAGCAACGATCTGGACAAACGAGGAAAAACAGATCAGGGCAGCGTGATTAGAACACGAGGAAGACCAAGGCGGCAGGAGAGGAAGGGGCCGGACGGCTTTCGTTTTGAGTTCAGAAGAACAGGCTGCAGCCAGGGATGGTGGCGAGTCTTTGGTACCAAGTCCCAAGTCTGAGTCTCTGGTACCAAGTACCAAGTCTGAGTCTTTGGTACCAAGTCCCAAGTCTGAGTCTCTGGTACCAAGTCCCAAGTCTGAGTCTCTGGTACCAAGTCCCAAGTCTGAGTCTCTGGTACCAAGTCCCAAGTCTGAGTCTCTGGTACCAAGTCCCAAGTCTGAGTCTCTGGTACCAAGTCCCAAGTCTGAGTCTCTGGTACCAAGTCCCAAGTCTGAGTCTCTGGTACCAAGTCCCAAGTCTGAGTCTCTGGTACCAAGTCCCAAGTCTGAGTCTCTGGTACCAAGTCCCAAGTCTGAGTCTCTGGTACCAAGTCCCAAGTCTGAGTCTCTGGTACCAAGTCCCAAGTCTGAGTCTCTGGTACCAAGTCCCAAGTCTGAGTCTCTGGTACCAAGTCCCAAGTCTGAGTCTCTGGTACCAAGTCCCAAGTCTGAGTCTCTGGTACCAAGTCCCAAGTCTGAGTCTCTGGTACCAAGTCCCAAGTCTGAGTCTCTGGTACCAAGTCCCAAGTCTGAGTCTCTGGTACCAAGTCCCAAGTCTGAGTCTCTGGTACCAAGTCCCAAGTCTGAGTCTCTGGTACCAAGTCCCAAGTCTGAGTCTCTGGTACCAAGTCCCAAGTCTGAGTCTCTGGTACCAAGTCCCAAGTCTGAGTCTCTGGTACCAAGTCCCAAGTCTGAGTCTCTGGTACCAAGTCCCAAGTCTGAGTCTCTGGTACCAAGTCCCAAGTCTGAGTCTCTGGTACCAAGTCCCAAGTCTGAGTCTTTGGTACCAAGTCCCAAGTCTGAGTCTCTGGTACCAAGTCCCAAGTCTGAGTCTTTGGTACCAAGTCCCAAGTCTGAGTCTCTGTTACCAAGTCCCAAGTCTGAGTCTCTGTTACCAAGTCCCAAGTCTGAGTCTCTGGTACCAAGTCCCAAGTCTGAGTCTTTGGTACCAAGTCCCAAGTCTGAGTCTCTGGTACCAAGTCCCAAGTCTGAGTCTTTGGTACCAAGTCCCAAGTCTGAGTCTTTGGTACCAAGTCCCAAGTCTGAGTCTCTGGTACCAAGTCCCAAGTCTGAGTCTCTGGTACCAAGTCCCAAGTCCCTATGAAAAACAATCTCCCCCCCCCAAAAAAAGGGAGGGACCTGGTGGGTTCTAAGTCTTGAGTTGAGTCAGAATCATTGAAGAAGAAGAAGAAGCCCTGAGTCTAGTCGCTGGTGTGACTCAAATCTGACTTGACGCGGCGACTTGAGCCCCCATCAACCCTGTGAACAGGTGGGAGGTGACATTCAAAGACCCATTTTCAGATCCTGAAGCCATTTCTTTAATGGCTTCTCCGGAATCCACAAAGCCGCACGCTCTGTCCTAAACAAGACAGGCCAACCGAATCGGTAAGATCTAGATCTGTGGCAAGAAAATCCAAAATGAGGCCCATTTGGTCTTTTGAACCGACCATCAAGGAGCCTGGCATGGAAAGGGCCAAGACGTTGACGACGGCAGGGATTAATGAATGAATGAATCAGTCTTTGCGGTAGGGTTCGCCTACTGGTGAAAAAGGCACAACTACAAAGGAAGGGTAGGATAAAGAATGCCATAAATTTGGGGGATTTTTTTAAAAAAAATTGCATGCATGCATTCCAAACGAGTGATCCTCCTACTTGTCACTGATGCTGCTGAATCCTTTCAGGGCATTGACCAAAAAACGAAGAAGCTGGTAGTAGGATTCCCGTATTTCTCGGTGAAGCTCAGCCCCACAGCCTTCTAAGTGCCCGAAATAGCTGCAAGACAGAAGAAGAAGTTGTTGAATCGTGCCCAGGTTGTATCATGGTACAATCCAGCCAATGCGCCAAGACCTGCCTTGAAACATTAGTATTTTTTTTTTAAATCTTCACCGATTCCACCCCACTTTTCGTTTTGACAGACCCATACGCTAAGTAAAGGCCAAAATATTTGTCTGTGCCCTTTATCGAATAGGGATCCTTCTTTTTCTCCAAGAACGGGGCATTCAAGTCATGTACAAACTCAAAAACCAAAAACGTTCAATGTTTAAATCCAAATTAATATTAAATTAAAAATAAAATTAATTTAAAATAGCAGTGGCCAGTTCCAGTAAATACATGTAAAAGCACTTTTTTCCTGGATTTTTGTTTTCCTTTTACCATGCGATGCATAGCATTCACTATTATCCACAGTTTTCAGCATCTGCGCGGGGGGGCACTTAGAACCAATCTCCCATGGATATGATAGCAGTGGCCAGTTCCAGTAAATACATGTAAAAGCACTTTTTTCCTGGATGTTTTTTTCTTTTACCATGTGATGCATAGCGTTCACTATTATCCACGGTTTTCAGCATCTGCGTGGGGGAGGGCACTACTTAGAACCAATCTCCCATGGATATACGGGTTCTGCTGCATTTTCTAGCACAAAATGCTAGGTAGGTTAGTAATTTGACTCTGCATTAGCTAGCGATCCACATTTCTACTTTGTGAGTGGAATTCACAGGAGGAAAGTGTCTCCCCTAAGCTGCGGGGTTTGTCTCTCGCCTTACTTTGTGAAGTCTTTCTGGCAGGCGAGAAGTTCCAGCAGGAAAATGATGCAGGAGGGAACGAAACAGTGAGGCTGCCCGAGAGATTCCAGGCACCGAAGGATCATCCTCAGGACTTCCAGGATGTTTTTGGCCTGAGCTTTCCGCAACGCCAGGACTTTCAGTACACTAGAAGGGAACACATGCGCCCAGATGTTGACAGGGACAGTGATACTGTAGGACCAGCGGTACCCATCAACCAGATGTTCTCGGACTGCAACTCCCAGAACAGCTTCCCCCCCAGCTTCCCCCCCCCCTCCTGGAAGCCGCAGGCCAAGAATACTTGGGTTCTCCAAGGAAGCAGAAAAGCTAGTTTTGGCCGACGGGTTGCCTGGCTCACCTTTCACGAGAAACCGACTGGTCCTTAATGAAGTCCAAGGTGTGCTTCAAGATGGGATATGTCTCCTTAATGCTCGGCGCAGGCCGGGATTCCTCCATGGAGCGGAAAGAGAGGAGGCGGAGCCGTCCGCGGTTGAAGGGGGGCTTGCGGGTGGGAGTCGAGGGAGGGGACAAGGGTTCTTCTTGGTCCGGGGGGGTCCCTTCCAGGGGTTTACTATGGGATGCCCCCCAGGGCAGTTCCGCTTGCGGGGAGTCCGGCGCCGGCGTTCTCTTCAAGTCAGAGTCCGCCGGCGGGAACGCCAGGCCGGTTGCTCCGCAGGGAGATGTCGAATCGGAGGCTTGGAAGTCGGCTTCTACAATAGAACTCGTCCTTTGGCGTTTATCTTTATGGCTCCGCCTCAAGTCCTCCGTGTTCTCTGAATCCTGGCCATTCGCCTTGGCCCGTGCCGGCGAAAAACTCAGCAACAGAAGACTCTTCTGGATGCACTGCTGGGCTACATTGGTAAAGGCAACCCAAGGCCTGTTAGGATGTCTCGTATTAACTCAAAAGAAGCCTGTTTATTCAGAAAACTCACTTTTTCAATGGAATCGTTTTCAAAACAATGAATGAAACAAAACGAAACAAGTTGTTAAAAAGGCGATTAACAGGACAACAAGGGAAGGACATGAGGAATACCCAAGGGAGCCATGAAATGGCACAGACATTATTCAGGGAGGTGGGGTGGGGCCTGAACTACACAGTGTGTGTGTGTGTGTGTGTGTGTGTGTGTCTCCTTACCCACACAAATACCCTATTGGCAGGCATCTGATGGGAGCAGACGCTAACTCAAAAGGCTTATTCCCCATAATAGACACTGCAGTCTTCGAGACGCTTCAAGACTGTCGTTATTTATTTTAATTCTGGTTTGTTTTTATAAAGTTGGAAGCTGTCTGGTAGACACCACATTTAGTGAACAAGACTTACCAAGGGTCTCTGGGTTTACTTCCACCGTCTCACCCGCCTGAGTCTCCTCCCTGTCACTACCTTGGTTCACGAGAAACTTCTGCTTCATTTCTAGCTGTAGAAAAGGGTATTTTTAGAAGAGTTGAAAGCGTTTCCATATCTGCACATCTGATCTTTCTGAGATCATGTTAGCAACCAGGTTTCATCAACATTGGCACCGTTCACAAGCCATAAACTCACTCTTTTTTAAAAAAAAAAATAACGGGTACACATACTTGGAAAAATCTCATAACCAGCTTTATTAAGGAGGCTTGTGGCACAAAGCAAACGGCTTTCAGCCAACATCTGCAAAGTTTTGAAGGTTTCGTGGCAAGCCCAAGACGGGACTAACTTGAGCAATGAGAAACAAGTCAGAAAAGCCAATAGCCAAGTTTCTCTGGGCCCAAGGAGAGCGTAAGGATTGAGGGAGGAAATCTTACCATCCATATTCTAATCCCATCAGCCAGAGAATACACTTGGGCAAACTCTTCACTCAAGGGTGTTTTGCCTCCACTGTTGACTGGGAGGGCAGAAAGAGGGAAGAAAGAAGAGATGATTTTCGTATGTTCTGATTATGCCATCAACAGCAGAATGAAACAAAAACAAGTGCAGATATTTCAACGGAGCCCTGCTACCAATTTGCTTGGAGCCCAGTTTATGAAAACAACCCACTGAGCGCACAAGCTCTCCGAGGACTAGAAAACGCTGCCCATGTAAGACAGCTTACAGTCCCCCAGCAACTGTAAGCTGTCTTACAGTTCCTGGGGGGATGGCTTTTCTTGTTTAGGCTGAATGCACAGGGAAAAGGAACACTCAGCACTGCTCCGAGGTACTTGTTTTCAAGGAAAAACCCAGAAATAGAACTCATGTAGCAAATAATGCGGCAGAAATGCAGCTGTTCAGACTGGAACCACAATCGTAAGCTGTCTTACAGTTCCTATTGCTACCTGTCTGTCATTCCATTAAAGGTCCAAAGCTCAATGCTTTTCAAGACATAAATTATTCCTGGTTTTATGGGAAAACAAGGATTTCTATCTTGTATCCTCCAGGAAAAGCCAGCGTCCTAGTGATTCTTCCCCCTTCTCCCACAACACAACAGTTGTGTTTCCCAGGACTGGGGCTGCAGGTTTCATCCTGCCCGCAAATGTCAAAGAGTATGTGCGACGTGGAAGGAATGTGTTGGCCACACTTTTACTGCCAGTTTACAGAATTAGGCACCGCACCAGAATTAGGCTTCATTATGGATGTGGAGTCATTGATGGAAAGTTACCGTATTTCTGAAGCTTCCCATACAAATCAGGAGAGAGATACACCAAAGCAGCGAACGTAGAGTGGACAGCTTGATCAACCGTAGAACCAGAGACTATCTCCGTCTTCGGGGCCTGTTTTTTACATGCCTGGATAAGTCCTTTGAAAAGCTCAGAATTTGGCCCACAGAACAACTCCCAGGCGGGGTCTCCCTTTGAGAAGTTGTGGAGGAATTTGTGGCACTCGGCGTCGGAGGAGAGGGCCTGAGAAGAAGATCAGGGAGATCCGGGTGAGCAAAAGCCACTGCCCCACCCCCACCCCTGCCAGCGGTCCAAGCTCATGGCTTCCAGAATCCTGCCCATGCGTGTCTCAAGATGCGGATGCCAAAGCAAGATAATCAGGTGCCCAACAGAACCCGCAGAGCTAAAAGCGAGGACGATGCATGAACTCTAGAAGAAGGATCCCTGATACTGAGAACACAAAGGTCGGGAGTAGGGATGGGCACAAACCTCGGTTCGGAGGTTCGTGCCGGTTCGTGTGCACAGGAGCAGGAGCATGGGCTCGCGGACCTTGGTTCGGAGGTTCGTGCTGGTTCGTGTGCACAGCAGCAGGAGCATGGGCTTGCGAAGGCAAGGGGACTGGCTGAACAGCCCAAAGGAAAGGAGAGGAGTGTGCGCTGGCTGGCGGGTGAGTGGGGAGATCCAGCTGGGAAAGGGAACAGACAGCAGCACAAACCAGCACAAACCTCCGAACCACGGTTCGTGCCCATCTCTACTTGGGAAGCGAGTCGTCCTGCCCAGGAAAGAAAAAACTAAAAATAGCTCAGCTTGATCCCATGATCTCATCATCCACCACAGGTCAAGCCCCTCTACTCCTGGGCTCTACTCCCTGCACGATGACACTGAGCTGCGGTTATCCCCAAATTTTAAGATGGGAAACATGCCCCCCCATGGGCCAGATGATGCCCCAAAGGCATTTCTGTGGGCCCCACTTAAGAGAGAAAAATCTCTGTCCCCCCCACACTGCTTTAATACCCTTCCTTCAACAACAAATGTTGCCTCCAGGTGACATGGCTCTTTTTAACCTTCCTTTTCAGGCAGGTTTTATTTGAAATGACCGACTGACCAAGGGGAATTTTTTTAAAGGGATCGTTCTATTCTGCATTTTATTTGTGCTTTTCCTCTTGCTCTGAGTTTTAACAGGACGCTTCACGCTTCGTTCATATTGTCATCGTTTATTCTTAGTCTTTTAAACATTTTCCTTTCTTTGAGTACGGCAAGCCAAGTCTGGGCTTCTCGAGGCGGCACGTAAGCATTTGAAATAAATGAAAATAAAATTTAAAATGAAACGAGGCTTTCCTACACCATGCTTCAGCCACAGACCCTTAAAAAAAAAAGAAATCAATTTTAAGGGTCACTTTCAGGAAGCGACCCATGGCCATACATTGGGTCTCATTCTCCCCAAACCTCGGGAGGCTGATTTAACCCAGCTCTGAAAGTTCTTGAGAAAGTCGGAAAGCTGTTTTGTAGCTTGGGAAAGCTATATTCATTCAGTTTTGGGGTGGATGGGCTAAGGAGTACTGCCTTGGGACTAGATTTGAGAAACTGTCTTCATACCTCCTTGCTTTCTGAATGCGCCTGGCATGGCCGAGGGGATTTAGGCATCGGCTCCGAACGTCTCGGATGCGTGAAGACGGGTTTCCAGAGAGGAGAGTTAAGGACGGCGGCCACTTTCGCAGGAGGCAGTTCCATGTCACTTCCTGTATCTAGAGAGAACCATGGAAAGGGGGGACAGAAATAAAACAACTGTTAAAAGTTGGAAGAAGTGAGGCTTTACATTGAGTTCCCTCAATGCCTTATAAGATTATGAGATCGGAAAGATTTTGGGGCTACATCGAATTCTGAAGCTCAATTGGAAAATATTTCAATGTCTGGAATCCTACTATGTCAGGTTTGTGTCATTCATCGTGGCTAATAAGCCAGGGGACGCCTTTCTCATGACTGTTTAAGTACCCGATCGAGCATCCAGATGTGCCCAGCCACCATGCCAATTAGCCACAAGAGAGAGAGACAGAGAGAGAGAGATCATTCATGGGGTTGTCGTAAGTCAGAAGCAACTTGATGGCATGTAACAACAACATTTGTGGTTAGACAAACTTATATGAAGACCAGTAGGATTCTGATGAATGAATCAACAGGATTTTGCTGACAGCTTTGGAAAGCCCGCTGAGTCAAGGAGCCCAATCTAGTTAGGACTAACAATTGCATTTAGATCAACGGCTTCAGTTTTCCGGGTCACAGAATCCTAGGCTCAAGGAGTTGGAAGGGGCTTACAAGGTCATTGAGCTGAACCCCCCACCCACACCCACCCCTGCTCAGGGCAGGAATCCAAATCAACGTAGATTTGGCTCAAAAGTAAATCCAACCGCATCGTCCATTTGAAAGACTCCACCACTTGAAAATGAAAGAGGCAGGAATCTACCCACCCAGTGGGGATTTTAGTGCCATGCTCTGGGAAGCCAGCTGCCCCATCAGTCTGGCCACCAAAAGATGCAGGTCCAGCCCCCAGGAAACCTCGATATCGGGCAAGCCGTAGGCGGTGACGGTGAACTTGTAGCCCCACTCATTATTGCTGCTGTCCGAGTGGAAGAGGAACTGCAGCCGAAGGCCAGCCTTGAAGGTCACTTTCTATGGAGGAGAAAAGAGGTGCCGTTTTGGCCAAGCAGAAGACAGCAGGAAGAGATGCCAGGGGAACAGAGAACGCCAACTCAAACCTTTCCCTGATGCTTTCCCGTAGCATAATCATACACACAAATACAGTGGTGCCTCGCATAACGAGCACACCCTTTAAGGACGAATCTGCATAGCGATCTATGTTTTGAGATCGCTAATGCGATCGCATTGCGATGTTTTAATGGGCAAAACATCGCATTGCGATGTTTCTAAAACAGCTGATCGGCGGTTCCAAAATGGCCGCCGGGTGCCCAAAATGGTCTCCGCAACCATTTTCGCGTGCTGCCCTCGCTTACCGAGGTGGCGAAAATGGCGGCGCTATGGAGGATCTTCCAATAACGGTGAGTTTTCACCCAATAGGAACACATTAAACGAAGTTTAATGCGTTTCTATAGGGCTTTCCCGCCTGCTTTGCGATGTTTCTGGATAGCGACGATTAATCCGGATGGATTAACGTCGCTATGCGGGGCACCACTGTACACAAACACACACAGCTAATTCACTGCATTGTACTTCAGACCACAATTTAAAGAGACATATTAAAATGCGACACTTTCATAACCATCAAAGTTTCTGAACTCCTTCCAAGAGGTGTGTGAAAAGCTCACCAGGGCGTCTGGAACTAGAGAACGGATTTAAACACCCTGCCATGACACACACTGAAATGTCACTCTGAAACAAGAAGTCCAAAACCCTGAAAAGGAGTCTTAAAGGGGGCACTGTGTGGTTAATATTCTTGTCTCTTGTTTTTCTGTTTTAATTTTAATTTTTTGGGGGGGGATTGATGGGGTTAACATGAAACATTCCCTCGCATTCTAGATTTGAAGTTAAACCAGAATGAAGCTGCCAGGTGAGAATCCCTGGAAAACAGTTAAAACATGTTCTATCACAAGCTCAGGCAAAATTTCAGAAGCATTTTGCTAAGGATGATCGAATGTGGAGTCTTCTCTGGACAATGTTCTGCTTCCCCATCATGGAAGCAGAACTTGGAAATATAAGTTTTATGGGACTAAGGCGCGCAGTAGACAAGGTCTGCTAAAAACTCACGGATCTCCTTAAAGAATTACACGCATGCACAGAGTTGCAAGAAATTCACAGACTACTAAAAACATGGCTGTTTAGACAATCCTTTCTGGATTTTAGAACATCTTAATACACCTACAACCCTTCTGCCCTGCTGTTTTATTATTCCAATTATTTTATCTGTCATCGCTGTCGCATTTTGTTTTAAGTTGTTACTTGGGTTAACCTTTGTATTGTTGCTTTATAACGTTGGAATCTGTAAACTACCCAGAACAGCCTTCGTAGCCAGACAGGCGGTATAAAAATTTGACAAATAAATTAAAATTAAAATGAAATAATGGCGTAAACTCCATGAAGCTATTCTGAAACTTCTAAAACGCGGGCCTCATTTCGGCTGTTTGGGACGTGAAATCTGCTCACCTTGGGCCACTTGTCTGTGCCAACTTTGGTATCATAGCGTGTTTTGGCACCTTTGGCATCCGTAAATTCCAGGTAATCGTACCTACACAGAGGCATTTGTAAAAAGGAAGAAGGAACACGTTTTAAAATGGGCTCACACGGACATTTCCTCTGATTCAGAAAATGACGCACGTCACTAGCCCGGCATGACAATGCTCCGTGTCAGGATAGGGAGTGGCAATCCCCTAGAGCCAAACCTTCCCCCCCCCATGAACCCTTCAGAAGTATGCAGCCCCCCCTCAATTTGCTGCAAAGGACGAGGAGAGAGACAGGAATCGTGGAGCCATGTGGCCATTAGAGAGACCTGCGTATGGCAGCTGTGGCCGCCTTTAAAAAGGGAACTAAAGTAAAGGGAAGCTCACTCCCTTAAAATACCGTCAGCGATAAAAGGAGGAGCCGGGCGAGAAGTCGCTTCTGTGAGTTACCTCCTCTCTGTTTCGCATCTCTCATCGAACTCCACCTCAAAGTAAGTTGCCCCCGGGCAAAGGAAGACGGTGACGTCGTGACAGTTGTTCTCGTAGTTGTGGGGAGATTCTGCCGTCCACGTGCGCAGCACCACCGGTTCCTCTTGCTGCCAACTTTCCAAGCCCATCTGGCAGAAAGGGAAACACAGACACAAATGCATCTGAAAACCGGTGAGACGCAATTTGGCCTAGAGAGAGTCCTGATCAAGCAGGTGGCCAGCGGGAAGCTGAGAGCAGAGGTCTAAATGAGGCCCCCTGGCCGTGCGAGGCCAGCCTGCCTGCCTGCCTGCCTGGGTTTCTCTCATTGTGGCTGCAATCCCAAGATGTAAAGAGGAGCTTCCTAAGTCGGAGAGTCTCACAGGAATGGCACCAACATACACACTCCCCACCCCGCCTGTTTTGCTTTTTTTAAAACCTAGCCTCACAAAGAGTTTTAGAGAACGCACAAAACTCATCGTAAGAGCAAGACTGAAAACACAGAATAAAATGATCCCTTTATAAAATATCCCCTTGGGCAGCTGGTCGTTGAAAGCAATATTAAACAAGCATTGAATATATTAGAATTCATAACGAGAACAGTATGAAAAGAACAAGTAAGACGCAGAATAAAGCCACGGGGAAGCTTTCTCTCCGGCTACCTTGTCTGGCCTGTCCTCGGGGTCTGCCGACAGGGCGTTGAGCGGCTTCGTCAACCGGCTGAGCTCTTGCAGGAGGGGCTGGTGGGGAATGTCCAAAGCCGCGAACTCCTGCAGGAACATTATCTAGGGAGCACACACACAAAGAGGTCCCACTCGTTTCAATCACAGACGTCACGCAACTCTTCGAGGGGTTGGGGGAGGGACGGGCTTGCCATCGGCTCACTCACCAGCTGACGGGCTACCATGGAGAAGACAGAGTTGCTCAATCTTTCCACGATGGTTTTGCTGCTGTGTCGGGAAAGGAGGGACTCCAGGATCATCCGGACACTCGAGAGGAACTGCTGTACGTCTGGGCAGGGGGAAGAGAAAAAACACACACGACGAGTTTGCCTGAGTGATGACTACAGGGGGAATTTTAAGGTACCGCCATGGGGATCCTGAGCAGAATTTCTCCCCCCCCCCAAAGTGCTCACTTACGCTTCGTGAGAACTTCTGCCGCCAGCTTCCGGGCAGCAGCGTCGCTTCCCTTGAGCTGCAGGTAGCACCAAGACAGAAGGCTGCCCTGCACGGACCAGAACAAGGTTGAGAGAACCGGACCGGTATCCTGCTGGGGGATGCCCGTCATCAACCTCTCACACTGGGGAGACGAAAAACAAAACACCCCCCAAGCCTTCAGAAATGTGAAATACATTGTTGGAATCAAAAACTCCAGAGGAAGAAAGGAAATCTCAGGCCAGCCGTCTGAATCCACCCCAAACAAGATTCCAAATTATGCTCTCGACTTCTCCAAACGGCCATTTCTGCTTCCCCAGGAGGCCGGTTCAACAGTTTGAGTGACTTTCCCTTATTCTAAGTGACTGAAGGGTCTGTCTCGAGAGGAACTGCTGTACGTCTGGGCAGCGGGAAGAGAAAAAACACACACGACGGGTTTGCCTGAGTGATGACTATAGGGGGAATTTTAAGGTACCGCCATAGGGATCCTGAGGA